TTGTGTTCCAGCGTTGCAGTTGTAAAATAATGATTTCCATATTTTTTTCTTTCCAGACCGGAAAGATTTTGTGAATAATACCTTTCATGTTTAACTATTATGTCATGTTTTTGTAGATGGGGCCTTTTTAATTCTTTATTTCCAGTTTACTTAACTATACTTCTTAGATCGCTTTAGCTTTATTAATAATCAGTTTTACCCTTCTTATATGTTTTTATATGATTTACTATTTCGGTATATGCCTTTTGAAATGGGAATGAGAAAGCAAGTAGATTGCCAATAGATTGGGGCCAATAAGTATAATGCCTCGAAATATCTTTAAATTTCAAATAGGCGTCATAATGTATCTTAAATTAGAAAATTACATTAATAATTATACCATATGACAATATAAATGTGCTATCAATTTTCCATGTCTAAAGTATTTGGATTGAAGAGCTTCTAGGCCAACCTCTCTCAGGTCCGTAAGCCCCAGATTAAACCCATTTTTAAAAGATAATTTATTTGATGTAAACTATTGTGCTCACATGTAAAACCAGGGAAATAGTATCTGGAATATAGAGCAGAATCTGTGAAGAATTTAATGAGGACGGAAAAATAGGCGTCATACAGCTTAGTAGTTTCATACTCACTGATAAACTTGAAAGTTCACCGTGCTGGGGTGCAACAGACCGTAAACTATGTTCATCCAGATTTTTTACAAAAAAGTAAAATTAGTTGCCAAGGCAAATACGATGTAGATCAGAGAAGTGGTCTCTATTTTGCTCATTTGCCGTTCTCTACATATATGCAATTAATATGCTGAGATAGATGGAAGTCCTATTTGGCAAGGCATCATTTGTCCTTCTTCTACTTCAACATTTCACCAGCCTAATCGATTTCATCGACGATACAATTGAATTTCATCTTCCTTTATAATTGCTGCCAAGAGGTATATTCATGATGGCAGAACTGTTTGCATAAGTAACATATAGGCCTCTATGATATTCTATTGATAAACAGTCTAGAAGGGAAATATTCACTCATTTCCTCAAATCAAAAAAGTAAACATGAGTTGGTGTGTCTTTGCGTTCAAGGGTAACATGCTTCAATCTTATTTTGCGAAAATCGGTCGAATCCCTTAATTTATCGTCTCTACTATCCCTCGTAGCAAAGCTCCTTCAACTGGGCCAATATCATGCAACACAAATGAAGCTTTTAGCGAAGTTTTAATTAAAACGTTTGAAAACGGGCCTCAAAGAATTCTGAATGGCTCAGAATTGCCTTTACCCAAAAGGGTTATTTTTTCGCTCTTGAATCTATTAGGACTAATGGAATTGATTGCTTATCTTAGTTTCCATGCTCGATCACACCGTACACATCAAGGATTACAAATAACTTTTTGAGAAATTGCAAAGCACTGTAACTAATCGATTATAAGATTTATGATAGTCGCCGCCAAGTGACTTATCACTATACCATAGTGCAATTCGGTTTATAAAATCGTGAATACCATTTAAAGAAGAAGATGGGGATCTTCAATCGCATTTTTAGCATGATCCATAAATTAATGAGAGTTATTTTTTCACGCTGTCTTCCTTCTGTTATCTCTATTGCTCTACAAAACACAGAATTTTTATCACCAGGAGGCCCAATTGAAGGGAAACAACTAACTGTTTACTTTATTAAAAGTTTATACTATGCATTTTATTTTTTTACTGCAACCAGAGTCAGACCGACTATGAACAGCACTCTTCGCCATCACAAATCCTCGACCTACGCAGCGCAATATGCCAGCCTGACATATGTCCCTCTGCTGATCGTCTGGTGCTGCGCCTCTTCCTGCCAGTCGCCCGCACCAGAGTGCCTCTAACCAGCGTACTTTCGCCCAGTTCACCGTTGTCATCTACAGAATTAGCGGGTGAGGAGAACAGGACTGGAGACCTGGACGCAGACGCTGGCGAGGTGGACGCTCGTGCGGTGGCGGGCTACGGAGGCCTACTGACGTCTGGCTTCGTCGGCCGTCTTCGCCGGAGAGCCTCGTTGTTGTCGCTCACCTCGCTCGGCTTTGTCGCCTCCGCCGGATTGGCCGGTGGTACGGCTTGTCTTGCAGCCGGACTCATGTCTGAGATTCACGTGAAGCTGGCTGACGTGAAGGAGTTTGCTGCATGGGCTGCAGCACTGCGGATCGCGGTAGACTTCTCAACAGAGACAAAGCTGCGGGCACACACCTGTAAGGAGTTGGCCTGCCTATACCTTAGAACAGATACAATCATTTCGTTGCTTTAGTGAGGATTCTCTTTCATTTTTCACACACAGACACTAATCGCTTGTTAGAATTAATCGGTTACTTTATAGACTTCTGTATATCGCATTGACTTCGTATCGGGGCTGCAGAAGAACAAGTCATGAAATAGCCTAGCAACGTTATCTTAGTGCTTTTTTCGATTGGCTTCTCTGATATGTTTTTTCCAAGTAATGTGTGATTTTTCAAGGTGGCCCGATTCTAATATAAAAATTAGGACTGCCTACCTTTTCAATAGTTACTTATAGGACAATAAGTAAATATTAGTAAAGTGATATAATACGATATGTATTGACACAATTTCGTTTAAGGTGATGAACGACTGGTAGAAGAAGAATTTTCCCACAATAATATAGGTTGAGCTGACGTTTCCATTAAATTTCACATAGCCTTGCTTTCCCAA